CAGTGAGGCACTGTCTGGGAGAGCCTAGTTTCAAAATCTCAGATGAATATATTCTTCTTTCACAGTAATGTTTTGTGGACCGTCGCGTGGAATTCTGGTTACCTAATGGAATATCTAAGACATGGTTATTGCACGAGGTTTAATGAAAGGGAGGAAAAGATGTTTACAGTCTATTCAAGAAATTTTTCTCCACGTGGAAAATATTTTTTTTTTGTCTTTTGTTTTTGTGTAGATGAAATTTGGTTGTGATCTCAAAGTACAAATAAATAAGGTTCCCAGAAAATCTGAGTAATTTACAGATACTTAGCTGTTTTTCTAGTGTCCATAATACCTTGTTTTAGCCTGCTTGTGTACAAGAGAATGGGCTCTTTGTGTTTGTGCTAATAACCCTCAAAAACACATAGCACCTTCTTAAAGAACACTTGTAAACCTACAGTAAATCACACAAATCACTTTTATTTCCTAAAATATGCAATAGTGCATACCTTGGATGGAATTATGTGATGTCACAGCTTGTTGATGGGATGGATCAAAGGTATGTCTACGAAGCGTCACGTCCATTCGCCTGTTGATGGGGCACCTGCTGCTGTCTGTGTCTGGTGCCTTTTCTGTTGTAATTAGATGCAATGCAGTAGTGAAATTCAGCAGTATAACCTGAGGAGTTGCTTTAGTTAAAGAATCATTTGCATTTAAGGCCAACAGATTTCAGTACAGAATAAACGTTCATATGTTAATAGTATGCAACACATGATTATCTATAACTGGCAATTTATTTGTGTTGCCAGAGGCTCTGGGGAGGAAGCCAGATTTGGATCCTAGGCATCAGTCAGCTTTCATACCCAGAAATCTTGTATTGTTTGCATTGTGTTTACAAATGTTGCAAGTTTTTTATTCCCCAGAGGTGGAAACATTATTGCTACAGGTTAAACAAAAACTAGTTGTACCCACTGTACGACTGGACACTGGACAGGAGGGTTGTGGAGTAGCTAGGAGGATGCCAGGTAGGAGGTACTAGGTAACTTCCGGCTGTATAAATGGATATTCAGCGGAACAAGTGAAAGTCCATTCCATGCTGAAAAGAGAAGAAAAGAAACACAACGTTTCAGCTGTGGAGCCTTCTTGAATGGATGCTCTCCATATTGTCATTGTAGACTTGAATTTGTTTCCAATTCTGATCTGTTGAAATGGAAGGATTAAATTGAAAAAATAATCTGCTAGAGCTATAGTTCCGATATTGTAATTGTTTGTATCTTGAATGTGAAAAGCAGGCGGCATGGTGGCGCAGCAGTTGGCGTGTCTGACTCGCTGGGTTTATTGCTGCAGTGCTGTCTGTGTGGAGTGTGTATGTTCTTTCTGTGTTCCCGTTCTCTCTGTGCTCTGGTTTCCTCCCACAGTGCAAAGCCATGCTGCTAGGCTAAGTGCCTTCTGGGAAATCTAGCCCTGGTGTGTGAGTGTCTGTGTAATTGTGTGTGTTTGCACTATGATGGACTGGCGCCCTGTCCTGGGTATCTTCTGCCTTGTGCCCTCTGCTTGCCAGCGTAGTGACGAGCTTCCCTTTGACCAGGTGTTAGGTGCGTATTGTACCTGTAACGGAAAAGTAAAAATGCACAGCTCTTACTTTACGATTTTTACTTTGCTATACCCCGGTTCCTTCTCAGTTGAACTAATATCATGTGGCATCTTGCCCTTTCTATATAAATTTCCAAAAACCATATAAGAAGATATTAAAATTACTACTGCTGACAGATTTCTGGGACTGATTACTCAATGGAGCACTGAATCTAAGTAGTGAGAAATCAGTTCTTCACCATTTCAGTACCCACAGTTTTACCTGACAGACTGACAAGCTTCAGGCTTGGGTGTTACAAACACTTTTTAGGGAGATGGCAGTACTGGTTTGTTCTTACCCAAGATGTACAGTTGAAAGTTAATTTAGAAGAACAGGTTTGTGAAAATAGGCCTTTTTATAATAAAAGAAATGTAGAACTGAGTTTTTTTTCCTGCGCTGAAATAATAATTAGCTTTGTGCGGGAAACTGTGACCTTTAGTTTGCTCTCATGTGTAATGCTCTTAAAAGCGTGGTCTGCTTGATTGTGTGGGCCTGTTTTCTGTCTTGGATTGCAAATTTTAAGTAAGTCAGATTTATAACCTTACCTAAGAGTTTTGCCCTTAAAGGTTTCCTGAATAATACCTAAAGCCCTGAGGCTCTCTCAACTTGCTCCTGAAAGTGCAGAGATGCGTGACGCAAAGACACATAAAAAACTGCTTCATTTGAATGTCATTTTACGCTTTAAGCTATAAAACTGAATCAGCCTTCTGTCCCCTAAACAGCATTTTGTTCACTTTAAAAAGCAGAGGATTAATATAACATTGGATCTTAAAGTAGGCATACACTTTATATTCTAGATATGAATTAAATGTTAGATTTATGCTTGCTAACGTTTCTAATGTAGTCAGACCACCAAGGGGCACTGCTGTATCTTACTATTGAATCTTCCATTTTCTGACATGCGCTCCTCTTCCTCACTGTCTAGCAGTTTATTTCTTGGTGTGACAAAGGCTGTGACTGTGGCTTCATTAACCAACCAAAGAGCTGTTTGTCTATGTGGCAGGCCACATTCAACAAAATCCGGTTTCATTTAATTTTAACCATTTTAATACAAAGGTGCATAGACAATTATTTTATATAAAGTGGGTTGGCTGTTGTGGTTGGAAATTACACTAAACTTTCCATTTGTGTCCTTTGAGTCTCCAACAAGTCTCTGTTTGCTCTTGTTTCGTCATTGCCAGTTCAGCTGTGTTCCTGCATGCTGATCTGTCAGATCACAACTTCACCAGCAGTTCATCTGTGAGAAGATGGCAAAGTACTCATTGGTTTGCAGGCCAGACAACCACACATGTCCTCATACTGCTCATGTAACAATGGCTTTCTTACAAGATGAGCCAGCTGAGCTTTCATGGCTCAACAGACTTGAGTACCATCCAATATGTACGGGATAAGCTAGGTTCCCTAGAGTTTGGCATCTAGAGTTGGGAGATCAAGACCAGCAACTGGCCACAAAAGCACTTGTCACAAATGTACACCTATCTACGGCAGTGTCCGTAGATACTCCTAGTCTGTGACCCTAACAGTAGCAGACCTCCTGTTATGACAAATTATAATCAGAATAATGACTTGACCTCTGTCATTTCCCTTCAATAAAATGTCAGTGCATCTGCTGCCATTAAAGATGGTAGTTTTCCCTCATGACAGCTTTGTGAATCGGTTTCATTCATTAAAAGTGTTCATATGAGGAGCAGCGGAGAATGTGAAGAAGAGTGTGAGGGACCTTATGTGAATGTGTCTTTGTGGAGAAGGAGAGCAGAGAAGAAGACAGCAGAGCTGAGCCCTCCTGATGTGTTATTGACAGTTCCATCTGGCTTGCGGCTGACAACATGGCTTTGCCTCGGCAAAGCTCCATCAAGATTTCTGTTCAAAGGGATTAAAATGTTGCTCCAGGGAATTTAGCCCTGCTTATCTAGCAGCCTTGGTTTTTTGGTTATTAAAACTTGTAAAGGTGTATGTTCAGAAATCAAACAGTATTCCCTCCCGTCATGACTTTACATATTAGAATTTTAAATTTCTGCCAGCTGGGGAGTGAGTTACTAATCAGAATCAATAGCAAGTGCGCGTGTCAGGACTCCCTGATGGAGGAGATTTTAAAGGCTGCAGCACACTGCCTTCTGTGTGCATGTGTTGGGGAGGGTCAGCTTTGATACATTGTACTGTAAGGAGATCCACTAATTAAAATGCAGATGGCGAGCGAGCAAGTGCTGCGTTGGTAAAGTGGAGGCTGAGTTTGTTACGGTACATGATTGCAAGTTTAAAACACCGGTCCTTCTGCGTGGTTAGAAAGTGTAACAACATCTGGTAGGGACTGCGAGCTGTGGAGGGAAAGATCCCCTCCTACAGCAGCACCGGCCCCATGTGGTGTGGACTGCATTTCTTCTTCAGCCTGAGCTGTGGGTTTGTGTGCACATTGTTCTGCAGGATAGTGTCACAAATTCCATGTCATTGCCAAGTCTGTGACACCGGTAGACTACCTGCACACAATTTTATAAGATGAAGTGAAGGGGATCTCATTTAAGATGATCAAATCTGCCATTCTGTATATGGTCAAAGAACTTGAGGTATTGTTTTTCCATTTGATGTACTGGCCTTGATTGTTGCTTTTTTAAAGCTGCCTTCGGAACTGGTTCACACTTCTTTTCTGATGATGGCAGCAGCAGAGTGCATTCTAAAGTTTGCCCAGATTGCTTGGCAATGTAGCAGAAATGACTGTCATGTCCCAGTACACTTTGGAGAGCAATGTAAATCATCCTTTTGAATGGAAGTTTAACTGCTGCTCTGATGTCTAAGACTTTCTAGCCTTTGTTATTTTTCTGTAAAAATGTCTTTACAAATTTCTTAATACTGGTTTTTAAAGTTGGGTTTTATTCAGCTTCCTCCTGGCCACTTGCACAAGCGTATGAGGGGTATCTTGTGTTGACAAGGAGGCTGTCCTGTTGTTTTGATCTGGTTCTGTATATAAGATTTAGCACCAGTGTAATATATACACTGTGTACTGTATATATTGTAAAATTCAGAAACTTTAACATCAAGAGAACATAGTGAAATAATTCCAATACATGTCTTACTTACTTTTTGCTGTCTGGTTTGATGAATTTAGTAATCACATATGTTCTCTAATAATTGTGGCATAATTCATCTGGCAATTGGTAGCAGTTTCTAGTCTTTCCCCTCTCCCACCTTACATAATAACCTATCCCTGATGTTGCTGTAAATGATCTTATCTTACTACACCAACTCTGTGCTTTCCAGTGTCCCCCTTATAAAGGCGGCACCTCTTTTTTACCCTACAGTATGCTGATTGCAGTCCCTTACCTGGCCCCCTGATAAAATCACAGTTCTTTTCGCAATATCATCTGCGTTTATTTCTTTCTTCTCATCGTGCGAACAGGCCAATAACAAGCCTGAGCTGGAGGCAGCTGTGTTCCTGGACTGGATGCGTCTGGAGCCGCAGTCCATGGTCTGGCTGCCAGTGCTGCACAGGGTCGCGGCGGCAGAGACAGCCAAACACCAGGCCAAGTGCAACATCTGCAAGGAGTGTCCTATCATCGGGTTCAGGTATGCCAGGACGCCGCACTGAGGACTGACCAGGATCACAACCGTTAGACTCTCCTTTCCTAAACCCTGCCAGCAGCAGCCTCTACAATAATTCAGATGCTTAATGCACCACCACTGAAAGTTGATTCAGCATATAAAACTCAAGTGCACATCATGACTTTTTTTGCAACAAAATCAGTGCTGAATATAAACCAAAAGCGTAACTGTGAAGAATGGTTTCAGGTGTTTCCATGTCCTGTAAAAATGTTGAATTTCAATGCCGTAAATGTGTCTGGGGAAATTATCTTATTGCATCTACCACCCCTGTCATCAGATCTGTTTTGAAGAGCTGTAATATTTTCTGGAATTGAAAGTGGCAGGGCTGAGTCCCTTATGCTGCAGAAGTGACTTGAAGGCTGGTAAATCTCTGCCGGATAGCATATTTGTATGCTTGTGAAAGAGACAACCTTGGCTTCACTTGTGAGGGAGGAAAGCTCTTGGCTTCATCATGTTGGCTTAGAAATGAATTTCAAATCACCATAGTTTCTTTGGGAGCCTAATAGAGCTGGTAAGTGTGTCTCTAGATTCCGTGCAGAGCTTATTGACCAAAAGCTGCCAGCACAGATTCTGAAGGGCGACTGATGTAAATCACAGATAATCTGCAGCACTCATTATCTTTGAGCACCTGTATAAATCTTAAATCAAAATTAAGTCTTTCTCTTTCCTTCTCTGTAACACTGCCTAAGCTAGGGTAAGATCCTGTTCAGTTCTTGTGTAGGACTGGAACGTTTCCAAAGAAATATGCACTACAGAAGTTTAGTTTAGAGTTTCTTAACCTCCTTGAGTGGCTTGGTGTACACGGCACTTCGCTGAACGTGGGCAAACCACTGACAGGTTAAATTCTGATTCGAGTTGAATGAAGAAACTGCATTAGGGGAGACTGCATTATATTCTGGCAGTCAAAAAGGGTAGGATTTTTTCTATCCGCATTTTAACCTGGGTTTCACAAATCAGATTGTTGTCAAATGATGTAATCACATAAAATTCAATGCCACTGTTTGCTAAAATAAAACAAAAAAGGAAAATTAATATTCTGAATGTGAGGAAATTAAACACTCCCTCCCCATGCTCACTCATGTAAAAAGTTCAAATTGATCTTTCTTCTCCTTTAGGTACAGAAGTTTAAAGCACTTTAACTATGACATCTGCCAAAGCTGTTTCTTCTCTGGACGGATTGCAAAAGGTCATAAAATGCAATACCCAATGGTTGAGTACTGCACACCGGTAAGCTGATGAATTTACCGTCATTCACCATGTATAACTCTGCTCTCATTAAATTACATTTTTACATCTAATGTCTGTCTCAGACACTGTTATAAATATACTGTTATAAAAAGCATAAATAGGAAGTCTTAAGCACAGAACAAGAAAGGTAGTGGTGGAATATATTGTGTCAGCAAAGTATGCTGTCAACTTTGTGCAATGAGTGCTTGAGAAGATGTTAAATATGCACGTTCACACAGCAAAAAAACAGCCACGCTGAAGGAAAAAAATAACAGATGTCATTTTTAAAAAAATGAATAAACAGCCTTGTTTGTGTTGCGATAAACTCCTCCCAGGTGAATATGCTTCACTCCTCTTCACAGATTTCTCATGCCCATGCGTGGTCTGAAGATGTAACATTCAGATTCGCTTATTTTATTTGCAGAGCTACAGTCCTACAGGAGGTTTAATTTCCTAGTAGCCTTTTAACCCATATCAAATGGGATAATCTTTAAATTCCCAGGAATTCATTGGTGGTGTTTATGCAGGTATACAAATGTGCTTTAGTCTCTGGCAGACTTCGTGTCATTGGCACTCAGAACAGTAATCCCAAAAGTTTAGTAATTGGAGCCATGTAAGCATGAGTAAATGGCATAATCTAGTGTAAATCTGATTCTAGTAAATAAAAGTGCTAAATTAATGTTCTGTCCAATAAAGCAGGCCTCAGTGCCCAGGAATAATCAAGTGTTTATAGGTTTCAGAGATGATTTGACAGCAGGTGAACAGGCGGTTTGGAGACTGATGAGTGCATTTACTGTAGAATAACCATGTTTTTATGAGCCCACTATGGAGAGTGTGCTGAAGCATTAAGAGTTGTAAAGCAGGTTCATACCAGAGAGAAAATTGCAATAAGCTTTTAATCTATAGATGCAACTATATGTAGGGTCCAGTGCCCTTCTCTTGTGTGGAACTGTTCCTGTATTCCACAATAAGGATCTGTACAATTGAGTTCTGCTGTCGCGTATTAAAACAGAATGAGGCATTAATAGGTGTCGATGTTAATGTATTCTATTTGTTTGAATATTGCAGAAATATTTTGAAGATACATTGAGGATCTTTGCAGGGAAAATTGATTATTTGTAGGGCTATGTTTTATAAAGACAAAACAAACTGCAATTCTGCCTTAACTGAATTACGTCTCTTATGTGAATAGCAAGATAGATTCGTTGAAAATGGACTGTAACATTTCCAATAAATCTATCCTGCTATTCATATAAGAAATGTAATTCCAGCTCAGAATGGCATGGTTTGCTTGAAGGCAACATTGGTTTCCTATATTGGACACAAATAACATCATAAATCAGCAATATTCATTGTTTTAACACTGAGAAATTAAAACGCCCATGCCTTATGCCAGCATTGCATTATTATGCATGTGAAATAGAAGGGTCTGTATGTTTTTGCTCATTTTAACATGTCTTCAGTGATAGCTAACTCTGGATCATGCAGGATGGGATGTGTTGGAATAGATAATTCCAGAGTTTCAACTGCATGTCTTGAAAAAGAGCAGCTGCAAATACTCTTGATCCTTGTGTTCAAGGCTTGTAGGTCTTGGGTTAAGCCCCAGGACTTTGGTTTTGTTCTTTAATGAAAATAAAATACACACTCAAATTGCAATAATTTTCTGGCTCGTACTTTTAGAAGATTCTGTTCCACCGATCCATTCCATATTACCAGCTACTGAAGCGCTAATCAATCCAAACGACATCATTTCCCACCTGCTTTTGTACTCTGTGGATTCTCCAAGACGTGAGTCGCAGCATCAGCACAAAATAGATGGCTTCAGATTCTGAGTCCTGCTCAGCTCTTCCACCTTGCTGACAAACGCAGATGAAGGCAGAGCTGTTTGAAGAGACTTGAGTCTTCTGTTTTGCCAGAAAGAAAGTGAAGAGAGCGTGGGATTTGGGTCTAGAAGGCTGACCTTAAGGCCCACCCTGTCCAGTCAGTGTTAGCAGTTGTTAATAAAACAGGGGACTGATTGTTCTAAGTTTGCTTTTCAGACCACTTCTGGGGAGGATGTGCGCGACTTTGCCAAGGTGTTGAAAAACAAGTTCAGAACAAAGAGATACTTTGCCAAGCACCCCCGAATGGGATATCTGCCCGTGCAGACAGTTTTGGAAGGAGACAACATGGAAACGTGAGTTAACACCGCAACACAATGACCTCTCCAGTCCCTCCAACCGAAATAAAATTCTTAGTGGGCTTTGTTTTTTTGGAACTTCCAAAGGGGCTCAGTTTTCATGTGTCTTTTCTGTTTCAGTTCCCCTCAAGAAAAGATGCAAGCTAACATCCAATTGTCACCATAATTACGGCAAAGGTTTTAATTTAACGTTATGAATATTTGTCAAAGCAATGGCTAGAAACAGAAAACCAAGCAAAAACACACACATGCCTGAAATTGAGGCACAAAGACTTTTTTTCACATTGTTACTCTGTTTGAGCACAAGAGCCTGTATAAGTTTATTACTTGACATTTTCTGTATCAACAGGAAACACAAAAGTCTCCGCCTTTAATTCTAATACAGCCCAGGTATTTTAAAATTTGTAGCTTAATAATGTCCAAAGTGTTATGTAGAAAAGCACATAACCGGACTTCTTTTAGAATAAGAAGTCTTTTAAAACAGCATGAAAATGCAGGTGAAATGAGTACTGGATGTTGAAATATCATCCATTTGACAAGAAGTTGTCTGACGTAAAAAGTAAACTAACTGCTTGTTTTTTATGTTTGCTGTCATTCCATTCTTTTTTTTTAAATTGAGGGAAATTAATGATTTTTCCTGGCTCTAGACATTGTCCCATCTTTGCCCCAGCCTGAACAGACTTATACCTTCTGACCTGTGCTTCTTTTACATGATATTTATCTACCAAATTAAACAAATCTGAAATTAGTCTCAAAATCTGTATGTATTATACACATTGTATGCTTCTAAAATGGATGCATATCGAAGCCTTATTTAAAAGGTGAAACATTTGTACAGTTTCTAAGCTTTGCTTAGTCAAAAGCCCACATGTAAAAATGGTGGGGGTGAAATCTGTATTGCTCTCTTTCATCATCCAGATACTTTTTGCTGAGTGTCTTGAGATCCCTGAACAGATCCCTGTTCTCTCTTTGAGATTAAGCAGAAGACTCTAATGAGAGTCATCTCCCAAGCGGAGGAGTACCACTTCGTTCTTTTTCTGGGAAAGACGTGCAAATGGGAGAGCAGGGTATTTTGGCAGATACATCTACTTACTCATTAAATCACCAATTGTTGCTCACAAGATGATTAGCTTTTCTTTTACAGAAAAAAAAACCCATAAGCTTCCTGATCAGCATGGAATGGGTAATTCAGTTGACTCCCAGTTTCTCACTGCCATCCCAAGACATACTGTACATAACCTTTCTCACTAAGCTTAATGAAAAACTTGTGCACATTAAAAAAATAGAATTTAATAGGAAACATTCCCTTACAACTTCTCCAGTACACTATAATACATCTTTTGAAAACAGGGCATAAATTGCACATGACTAATTGCTACACTAGACACATTTTGAAAGCCTGACCTCTATCAAAACTGTCCCAAACCATGAAACCGGAGTCATTGTGACTGAATGTAATGATTATCTTTTCAATTTCTTTTCAGTTTGCATGTTTCACATTCCAGTAAACATTTTCAGTGCTGATTACATGTTCCAAGCAGGAAATGAGTTTTGCCATTCCTGTACATTTTTCAATAGACTAAACATTGGCTAATACAAGTTAAATTGTATTTGGAATTGTATTCAAAAAATAATTTGAATTATTAATTTAGGAAGAATGCAAAGAATAGTGTGTCTTTAAATGTATATTTTCAAAGGCCTGTAAAATTTAGAAAGCTTTAAAAGGTCAGTTTTCATGCTCCATCCCCCTAGAAATGGGTTGCAATTGAGCTGCAGAAATACTGTAATGTTGTTATTTTCTATAGAATACATCAATCAAGGGTGCATGTTGTAGTTTTGTGATTAAATAGCTATAAGATTTACAGTATATTAGAATGGTGTCGATATTTAGTTTTTTTTAAAATAAGATTATGTCCCGTGATTCTGTAGCTTATTTTGAAGGTGTTAGTATTGAGAATTTCTTCTAACATGTAGCATACAGTATGCAACCTGTTCCCCTGTTTATAACTCTAATACCTTCCTATTGGATTGTCTCATCAGTGTTCATGCGGTGTTTTTCTATTAGTGAAAACAGTCTGAAAAGTGGTCACTATGAGCATTTTTCTAGAAATTAAATTGCTGTTTGTTTTGAATTGGGTGTCTGATCAAGGTATGAACTCCTGCTCAAATTCAAACCCCTGCTCCCACATAGTGCTTTCCTGGTAGGAGAACAGGATGGGCCTCTACTGTTTACTCTTTAGAGTGACTCCCGAGAGAGCAAACCACCTCACCATTTCTTTCTGAAATCTCTGATTTGGCAAGACGTGAGTGAGTGTGTGTGGGCTGTCGAAGTGTGATACCATCTGTGCTGGGCTGAGGTATTAAAACACATTGCAGGTGCAGCTCCCGTGTCCCGCAGGACTGATCTTATGTAGGGTACTCTTATGGCAGAGGACAACATTCACGCATCAAGAAAAAATCCTATTGGCAAACTGCCCTAGAAGGAGAATGAGATTGGTGAAATTTCTTCCCAAGCAGGCAATTGAACCTTAGCTTGTCTATCTTTACCTCCCCTCTTCCCTTTGGCTGCTGGTCATGACCATTTGCATTCTGCTCTTTTGATTTCGGTCCTTCTTGAAGTATTCTTCCGCTGGGTCTCTGCTGCCTCTGTCTTCATCTCCACATTTTTTGTCTTGCAGTCCTGTTACACTGATCAACTTCTGGCCCGTAGATTATGCGTGAGTACTCCCTTCTGCTGACCTGTGCAGCCGCTTTGCCCTACACATTTTTTTATTTATGTAACATGATTTTTTTTTCTTTCTTGAATTCACCTCGGCTTCCTCTCTGTGCTTCACAGCTTTGACTTGGAACCTATTCGGAAAACTGGGCATTTATGCTCTCAAGTCGGCAATTAGCAAATTGAGTTAGAGACTGACTTTTGGTTCTGTGCTTTTTCTTCTGTATAGTATGACCGACTCCTTTGCAGTTTTGTGGCAAAGTAAGGCAACTTATGCTTACTAAATCAGGAATATTTTTATATACATTTAATTTCTTTGTAATTTTCTGTAGTAAGGTTAGAGGTCAGAGTAAATGCAAAAAACTAGTTGTTTTTTTTGTATCAGTTGGAATTTGCTGTGTTTGTTTTTCTTTCGTCAAAACATTTTGTTGGTAATCATGACAATATTAATGTCTTTTTACAATTTCCGTTGGACAAAATTCTGTACATCTTTGCAGATATTGCTGATTGCAGCGTTATTTTGTTACCTAACCTAATGGTGATGAAAATCACAGTTTAAGAATTGTTACCTATTCATAGTCAAAGTATTGAGGATTGAAGCTGTTAAATCATGCAGTGTAATTATTAATTACATCCAGCGAGAGGAACACTTTAATGCCATTGCTATGCTTACTGTAATAGAATGCAATCAGACTTCTGTCACCAAGGGTAATAGTTCACACACAAGTGCAAACAACTAATTGTTTTCTGTTATTCTTGACAACCAAGTCTTTAGCATTGGTTCAGACAAGTGTATAATCACTAGAGACCACTAGAATTAAATCAAATAACTTTCACTGTTGTTTTTGTGGACTCTCTGTGGTAGCTATGGTGATCTGTCAGAATTTAAATTCTTCTGACCTAGGAAGAATATTTTTGTATCACACATAAGAAGTGCTGTACTGCCTGCAGCAATTTTCATAATAAATCGTTGGTCAGAATTTAAAAATGTTTACCCAACCTTAAATGGCTGTTGAAGTTGGTAATTAAAGAGCAAATCTCAGTCACGTCATAGCTGACAACATGCATGTAAACCTTGAGAATAGGGGATTTGAACCTGAGAAAGGGGAGTGCTCTTGCCATTTACAAGCCTTGTTTACAGTTTTAGGCACAACAATTAGTTGTTAATTTAACCTACTCATAGTGTATGTTTATTTTGGTGAACTTTCTAATCTAACGTTGAATGATAACTGAATTAGGCTCTGTGGGAATTTGAAGTGTTAAACTGGGCCTGCAAACCAACCTAGCAACAGGATGTGGGAGTGGCGTAGTCAGAATCCGAACAGGCCTGTGTGAACGTGGCATCGGTAACTGTGTGGACACAAGCTCTTTTAACATTATTTCATTGCCATGACAACACAGGAGCTGCGGGAGTTGGTTATTATGAGCCCATTGAAATCAGAACAATGGAAGGGCCTGGTCTTAAAGTCTCAAATGGGTCAAGCAGACCCAGATGTGGAGAGAAGCCTCAGTATTTATTTTTTTTTACTTTAAACTTTCTACACATTTTCGGAGGTGCATTTATGCTTGTGTCCCATAGACTTAAAAGGTAAATTCAGAGATATTAAATCAAGGACCCGATGATGTCCCACTGACTGTTCTGGTTTAGTGATGCTTGAGTGTTTTTTGAAAATCTCCCACTCAAGTTTAATTAAAAAACAATGAAAGAGTGTGGCTTGTGCCTGTGACGTAAATATTTTTTGAGCCATTGTTTTTTTAATTAAATAAATAGCAGCAATTGCGGAACGAAACGGACCCCCTTACTCTTCTCCCAGAGACCATCCAAAAAGCATTAGACTGAAGGAAAACAAAAGACAACAGGAAAAAAAGGGAGGGAAGACATACTTAGACAAAGAAAATGAAACCTGAGATCATCAGAGTTAGTTTATCGATAGATGTGTCCCAGACTGTGAAGTTCTGATAGAGTGTAGCAGACAAGCTGTGGACCTTTTGAGATGTAAGATACCCTGTAAATAACCATCATAAACCATGTAAATAACAAAGCAAGAAAAAGAAACTTGGCGGTATCTAACTCTTCAGAATAGTCTTCCTCACAGCAGACCTAGGAAAAGGCCAACAAGCAGAGGTTGAGAGAGAACTCATTTCCTTTTGTCCCTCATGAAAGAAAATTAGAGAAACATCATCATGCCTGCTAATCACAAGCAGTGGGTGATTCGCATAACATGTGAATCATCTTCAGAAATTGAACACAACAGCCAAAACACCAATGAGAGCACACCCGTACCAGAGAGTAAAGGGTCAGCTAAGTTTGTCATGTGAAGTAGATAACACTGATTGTCAGATGCAAGTCTTCCTTTTATGAAGCCTGTCTAAAAAAGGTGCATTAGGAATCAAGACACTGAGCCAAACATTTCTCACAGATCCTTGTGTCATATTTTAAAAGAGAGAATAGACAAAAACTGAAGCTCTCCTTAGGGTCCTTAACTTTTTTCAAAAGAAGAGACTTCAATGCCACGTTCTGGTCCCTATGAAATGATTCAGTCTATTTTGTTATATCGGAAGAGTCAAATTTGTCTCCATATTACAATCAGAAATTCTGATGACAAAGCATCCATTCAAGTTCATTCTTCTTTCAAGGATTTCAGAAATTATACCTGCTTCTCTAATGTAAGAGGTACATCTAGTCATTAGCCTGTTCAGGGGATAAATGCGATAATTCTAAGGAGCTAAAAAATATTATCTTTAATGGTTTAATCTGCTTTGCTTCTGATGTGTAGAACTAACTGCTGTACTGTATCGTTCACTTGTTTTGGGTGAGAAATCACACGTTCTGTTGAGTCTTTCATCATATCCATAGAGGTGAATTGTTCTGCTTATTTAAGAGCAAAGCTAGGAGTGTGCTCAAACGTTTTGCACACCGATAATAAAATTGCTTAGCATTATGTAGAAGAAATCCATCTTTTGGTCATGGATAGGCTTTTATGTTTACCCTTCAGAGAATGCAGTCTTTCCATCTAAGTATTACAGAATCTTTGTCTCAGCTGTGATTCAGTGGATCAAATGTTTTACTCTAGATTTCTGATTTGTTGCAGCATAGGTTTGTTCAGATTAGAGGCATAAGAAATTGTATTGCACATGGTAAAACATTTTGACAGCTCCAAAGTTTAGATTAGGCAATTAATGTGTCTCTGGTGACATGTTAATTGATAAAACATTCCTCTAACCCCTCTCCTAGCTGCTGCACAAACACTTCCCTTTAAAAAAAGTATTAATAAACCTCCAGTATTTAGCCCTTTCAGTATCTTTAAGAAATTGAAACTATGCTACAAGAGCATGATCTGAAACAAATATTCTCTACTGCACACACATTTCTTGATATTACTAGAAATAGAAGTGCATTCTACTGAAGAATCTGTGGCATGCTGAAAATAGGTGTAATTCACCAATAGAGTATTTTTATAAGAATATGAGGTTGTAAATGAGATGTGACTAAATGCATTTTAAGCTTAACCAACATTGGTCAGATGTGCCGAATGACCTTCTGTTGTTTGTAACCTTTTAAATGTTTTAAAGTCAATTATACAACTGTAGTGCTCAGAAATTATAACCAAGCAGGAGAATCAGCAAACTGGATTTTTTATCCAGTCAAAAACATGCATCGAAATCATTTGGCGCATTTACAACTGCCAGACGGAACTCACTAACACATTATTCAGCTGCATTAGCGCAAAATAAAACCTCCCTTCTGAAGTACTTCTCACAGAACAGACCTTTACATTCAGTAGTCATTAACAAGAATAATCACTCTCCCTCGTTTTCTTGGTGCAGTGGGGGATGTAATAATTTGATGTTATTTTGGAAATGCACCACATCTTTAACAAGTGAGTTTCTTGCAAGCAAACAATGTCAACTTTTCTCCTAAATATCTATACAGACCCTGCGTTCCCTTAACAGGATTATTGATTTGAGCCCTGGAACACTTCAGGAGTTAATAACCACACTGTGTGTAATTGAGGTGTACAACTGCAAGTCCAAATAAGCAAAAGAAATAGACGAACCGCGGCTCAGCTCTTAGAAAATTCACAAACGCTCTGTGACAGTTACAGGTTACTTCCCATGTTGTGTAATGTAAATATTGATGTTTTTCTGGGGATTATCTGTTCTGGTTGCATGAAACCTGGTGCAATTTGAAATTATTTTAAGAGATTGCCCCCACTACAAGTTGATTAATGGGCAGGGCTCCAAAAACAACAATTAATTAAGCCCATTTTAAAATTAATTAGCTGTTTTAGGACAAAGCATTTTAGAGGACATTTCCTCCAGGACCTTTCATGCTCTATTTGACTATTTTCCTATAAAAATCTATTAGAAAATCTATTAGTGTGTGCAGTAATGTGCATTTGATTGCAATTACACAATTACAGAACAGAAACGTGGTCTAGTCTGTATGGTCCATAGAGAAAGTAACAATAATACAAAACACGGACAGGCTTTTTTTACCTTTCCGGTGCAGGATATAGTGCCATAAAGCAATTAACACGTTTATTGTTTTTTTCTGTTTTTTTTTTAAATAAAACACACATTACTTGGGAAAAGTAACTACTGATATAAAATCAATATACAGTAGATGTTCACAAGAGGTACCCGATAACTGGACTGCACTGTACTTTAAAATCCAGCATTCACCTCTGTGTGAAAAAAAAAAATCCTTCCCTTTTGAATTCCAAAGGCCAGTGCGATGTTCCTCTGGGCCCCAAGTGAACTTTGGCAGCACTCAGATGTCAGTATGTGAGTTAGCAGAGTGCTGAACACAGCGCTGAATAGCCAAGCCACTGAAGTTACTCCAAGTGAATTTCCAGCCTCGAACGTGAGCGGACTTTGTTGTGTTCAGAAATGGATCAGCTCTTTCAAGCATAAATTCGTCTGGCGGTCAGTTTAGTATGTCACTGGTGCGATAGAATTTCCGGGGAAGAAATCTTTTATCCCCCCCCACCCCCTTTTAAATTGTAACAAGATTCTAAATCCCATTTTTAAGAAAATAAATCTTCAGTTTAGTATTTAGACTTAGCCTAGCAGTATAAAATTATCTGAGGCTTTACATATCCCCCCAGCTCCATACTGGAGTGGAAGTGAGACTGAAAATTCATCTGTAATTAATTTAGAGTGTGCCTCTTGACAGAGATGTTTTGATATTGATTAAGTATAGAGACATAATTAGAATAATGGTTATTAAGGTACAAGCAACATGGTATATGAACACATGCAAAATCAAAGATGCAAGTTGCTATACTGAGCATCAAAAGAAACTATATTCACTTTATGCGTGCATCTCTTTAGATGGACCTTTGTTTTTTTGCTGTTGATTAAATGTTTTTGGTATCATTGTGATTAACCGATCGATCATGACTAGCACTGTTGCTTAAGCACTAAATGCGTGAGAGGGTTGATTGGGAAAAGGTGATGAGGAGCTTTAACCTGATAAATGCCAAGTCTAGTGAAAATAAAGAAAACAAACACATAACAGGGGACTACTGTTGTCAGGTGAGAACACCTCAGGTGGACTTTCAAAGGGAGAAGCCATGTCTCCTTTTGGAGGTTTTGTGCAGACCACACTGATGGCTGTCTGGGAGTATGATGCCGAATGGCAGATTACCGTGGTATTCATTGGTATCATAGATAGTCTTAAGTGTATAATTCTGGGCAGGAGTGACTGGTCTCAGTGTACCTCTGCTTCTAGTGACTTGTTAGCAACTAGACTGTACAGCTCTGCATTGATAGCTACCTGGCATTCTGACACAATAGCAGGATTGCGTACATCCTCATGTAAATCGTACAACACTGGCCTTCTTGAGAGATGAGAAACTTGTCACAGTTGCCCTCAAATCTATTGCTCTCACTGGTGGCCATGTGCCTCATGCTACTAGGCTGTGGCTTTTTCGGTAGACCTTGTGGGTCAACCCTAGTCATGACAAATGACAGTCAGCGTAATGAATTTATTTTCGTTATCTCTGTTCATTAAAATGTGCACCTCATACAGAAGTAATTGTCATTTTCCCTGATATTAGGTTTGTACATTTGTAGTAATACGTGGTTGCTTTTGGTGCCCAGTAGGGATTCAGTTCATTTAGAGAAAAGGGTAACGATAACCTCGAAATTTATTCATAATGCTATAAGGTAGAATGTTGCTGCCTCCAAGCTTGTCATTACAGAAGATTTCTGTCTTCCTTTTACAGACCTACATCGTCCCCTCAGCTGTCACATGATGATACGCATTCAAGAATCGAGCATTATGCTAGCAGGTGAGCTGCATGTATTCGGTAAAAGTTCAGAAATGCTTTTAAAAAACAACCAGAAAAAAGGTCATTTTAAAGTTTGAGATTCATGGGGCTCGTATTCATTCCAGTACAGGGGCTGTGTGTACACATCCACATGGGGGCAATTTAGAGACGCCAAGCCACCATGACTTTGAACGCAGGGAGGAAAGCAGAGCCCCTTTAGAGCATCCACACTGTAGGCAGCCCAGTCTGAAATCACACCAGGACCAGTGAGCTGTGAGGCATTAGTGCTAACTGCCATGTCATCATCGTGCTGCCCCACTCACACACTAGAAAATTAAAGTCTTAATTGTTTCTTTCTCAAGCGTTTCCTTTTGCCATAACTTGCCTTATAGACTGTCAGAGCAAATTGAGTTATTCAGGCTAGCCACAAGACTGCAGTTAAAATCATGTTTATTCATGCTGCACTCCTACAAACGCCACGCTAATTGTGCTGCTGAGCAGTTTATAAATTGCTTTCTCTCATAGATTACCAAGATGCATTATCAAAAAGTGCAGAATTGGTGGTTATGAAAAGATAATATGTTTAGCTTTTTTGTCAGAATAACACTTCAGTACCCTAGAGAGAATTTTAATGTTCTGTCAATTAAAATTTTAGTGACCAAAGCTGCAGTGTTTATCGCTGTATACAAGTAGAGAGCTACAGTGAGTTTTATCTGGAGGATCTGCTGCTGTTTTTTTAACATTAAACTGTCTCATCCTGAGGTGGAACACAGATTACAACCCCTTAAACATAGTGATTAACACATGCTGTTGAGCTGCAGTCTCACAATTTCACAATGGGAAACTATAGTGCAAGTACTCACACAGTTTTTGAAGAGATTCTGTAACTCATTGTGTTTAATCTAGTAAATGCATTACCTAATGCTAATCTAATGCTGGGCAACAACAAAGACCCCTCGGTTTCATCTTTGATGTTGAAGTACCCAAGTTACCAAGCTTAAGAAGCACTGTACTCTTTTTCTTAAAAATATTTGAATCTCATTAGTCAATACATTCCAGTAGGTACTGCCTTAATCCCTTTTTATTTATTGTTTGAGGAGTTTGTACAGCATTGCCATTTTTTCATGCAAAGACTGAGAAAAAGTCTAGAATTAGTGATGGTGTTATGAAACAGAAATTCAGGGGAAGGTGAGATCCTAATCTCACCCACTTCCTCTCTCCTACATCATGTAAATATATCACTTAACTTCCCTTTGTGCATCTCTCTCACACTCCTCCATCACATTATCTTCAACCTCACAGCAGCACCCGTGCTCATTTCCTACAGAGAAGTGTGTGTGTGGGGCAGTCTGTCGTCCTCACCCTTATGGTTAGGCTTGGAGAGGCAATTTATGGCAAATAAACCTGTGATACAATTTCGTCTCTCTGTCTCATTTATTAGGATCTGATCAAACTACTTAAAAAATCACTTCAGTGAATTCCTGTGCTGCATGTGGTAAATTATTTTTGTACTCTCTCAGTGGATCCAATTATCCTTTACATGCTAAGGGCAGGGAAGGAATACAGCCCTCTCTCCAAAGCTGGATCTGTATGAACAAGCAGACTGAGTTGTGCTCAACAGAGTTTTATTGCCGTCTGAAGGCCAGGCAGTTCTCGAAGTGTAGAGAGTTGAACATCAAGCATGTTTTTTTTTCTTATATGCAGAAAAGCATTAATTATATAGATTTACCATTGTGCACTTGAAGCTAGCTGAATAATAAAAAAATAATAACTTTTGTATCTCAAATCAAAAATGTAATTCCTTAAAAATAAAAAATAAAGGCCTAAAATAAAGGACATATAAACTACGTATTGATTTTTTGTAAGAAATAATAGCTAGAATTGATCATACTAGAAGTATATCTTTATACTTATGATTTTGGGGGGTATTGGCACATACTGAACATAGCCAGGCCAGTCAAGTTGTCCTTAACTGCATTACAACTTTGTAATGAACTGAGCTTTGCAGGATGAATTTTGCTTGAGAATTACAGCTTCATCTCAGACTATGACTGCACAAATTAGGATTATACTGAATAAAATTCCACAGATTTTTCAGAAGTATGTGATCACTCTGCATTTTAACATCTGTTTTCATGTAAAAGGGCTTCTACACATAGAAATGATCCATTTTCTCAGTCACTGTATCTTTGAAAGAAAGATTTGTGTCTTGCATTTCCTAAAGTGATTTATTCACAGAATATAAAGAAAGCTTCCCTGCTGTCCTGCCGGGCCAAATATTGCAATTATAAGATCAAAAAAGACTTTTATAACTTTTACATTTCTGTATTAAAATCTAGATTAAATTAGATCAAATTTCTAAAGTAGAGTGTAAAAAGATAGGAAATTTGCACATGATTTAAAGAAATATTGTAGTTCTGGCGACACGGCCCCATGACATCATCCCCTGCAGCTTTTTCTCCATGAACATACAACAGAATCTCATGTGTGTTTAATATTTTACACTTGCTGTAGCCAGCAAAATTGGAGAAAAGTATTTACCAAGGACAGTTTATCCCAGGGTTTCAGTTAAAAGACATGAAATCATCATGCTTTGTCAGCAATCTGTAGTCTAAGATCAAAGCCTGCTTGAAACGTGTCTTTCTTATTTTGCATGGCTTGGATAGTTCATTATAAATTCATAACTCTTACTCATTAGCTGGCATACTTGATTTCTATGTTTTTCTGTTCATTTATTTAAAACACAAAACCTGAAAAAATACCTGGGAGCTGGAAGCTTGTTCCTGTCAAGACTGTCTAGACATCAACAGCCAAGAGCAAGAACACTGTTAGAGCAAGAGATTGTGGTTAAATGTGCTGTGAACTGTCATGGAAGTAGCCCTGTAAAAACGCACACAGACTAAAACTTGTTCTTCGTTCCTTTTTTCTTGTTGTTTTTGACACCTTACTCCGGCATAGTAATCTAATCTAAAAGGCATTCGATCATCATGCTGGAATAAGATACTTCTGTCAAAGACTGTCTGGGGGAAAGCACAGACCTAGAAGCCAAGAGCTCTCCTGCTGGTCCTCCAACCTCCAGCTTCCGGAACTTGTCCATTGCAGCATGCAGCTTTCGCCTTCAAAGTTAATCTGATCTGAATTTAAATGAGCCGATTTTGGCTAAATTGGTTAGGGCAGTGAATTGCAAAAAGATGCAAATTCAAAAGCTTTCTGTACCGTTTAAAGTGTATGAGAAAGAAGAGTAGTTGTCCTTGAAATTCAAGCTAGATGACTACCCCAGGCCTACCTTACAAACACAGCCCATTGTGAGCTGAAGCATGCCCTCAGCAGGTTGCTGTTTCTTTAGTTCCAGCCACAGAAGGTTCATTTTTTTCTTTCAGGGGACAGAGGTAAAAAAAAAAAAAGACTGAAGCTGACATGTCTTTCTGAGCATCCGCCTGATGGTGCCAAAGAAGAGAAGCAGACACCTGCTTCCTTAAAACGTGTTTAAAACCTTGCTTAGTTTCAAGAGTTGGGACCAGGCAAGACTGTTTACCTGAGTTCTCCCCAGGGTGGGTTGCAGTGGTGTAATCTGAATTGGGTGTTCAACAGGAAGGGATGCAGATCGGATGGAGAGTTGTTTGTGTGTGGAGGGAGCTCACTCCCAAGGTTTTCTCTCTGTTGACAAACATCCTTCAATTTTGAATCTTCACAAACTCTGTGCGCACACCATATTATTTTAGAACGTTTCTCTTGCCCGTTTAAACATGCTGTTCACTTCTCATTGTAACATGTCTTTTGGTTTGCTTCCGATACCAACAGGCTAGCAGAAATGGAGAACCGAAATGGATCTTATCTCAACGACAGCATCTCACCCAATGAAAGCATGTAGGTTCTGATGCCACTGTTTGCTTCTTTTTTCTGCTGGAATTGTGTTTGTGTGCCTATGCATGGCTTCCCAAAATATGGCTATACGTTGATGTGTGTGTTTTTACCACAACTACATATACTTTCCATATATACACTTGCACAGTAATACTGTACCTATTTATCTTAAGATACTGTTGTGCAATGACTGTTGTCCATACTTGACCTCATTACCTGCTGTTGGTGTACAGTCAGACAAATAGAGCAAGATTAATTTTACAGGAAATAAAACTTTATAAGATGAGACTTATTTTCAGTTCCCTCTTTGTTTCTTTCTGAAGAAACTTTGGAGCAATGCAGCGGACAAATCGGCCTGCAGTGAATACCCAGCCAAGAGCTGAGCCTGACATTTGACTTAGAAATAAATGTACCAGTCACCACCAGAGATTCAGTAATTCACTAAGTGGCACAGCAAGCCCCCCGGCAACCTGTACTCCCCTGCCTGTCTCCAGTCTGCACAGCAGACTGCATCTTCCAGACTTTAACATCTTACAGCACCTGCTCGGCACTGGGAGAAAACCAGTGCTGCAGAAAAGCTTTGCATTGGGAGGTCCCGTGGTGTTATTTTATACTATAGTTCTGATACAGTATTTGTTTTCTACAATAAATGCTAAAAATAAAAATGCATAGGAAGCATTTTATAGGAAACAATATTTTTTGTCAGAATTTGATGTTGATTAAACATTAAAACAAAGATTGTTAATGTTTTTTTAAATCTCAGTTATACTAATGAAAAATAATTAGAGAATTGTTTTTATAATGATTTCATAAAAGTGTTCAAAGTACGGGCATGAATCTGTTATTTTCATTAAACGCGCAGTTCGCTTACTTTGTCATATTATAAAGAGCAAGCATGTAGGAAATAGGTTTGGCCCAGTAGGTCAAGCTTGTCTTTATTGTAATCAAACAGGAAAAAAAAAGTTTTAATTGCGAAGGAGCACGAGTATCGCAGAGGTGACTGTCAAGTGAAATACTGTGTAGCTCTACCTAAGTGACCAAGCAGCTTTCAAAGCTATGTATGCATAAAATACAATCCCAATTTTAATTGAATTATTACATTTAATTATAGTTCATTCTTCGTTTCATTGGCTGGAGCAGAAATATTTTCGCTGCAAAGTGAAACGCTGTCTACCCTCATAAAAATGCAGAGGAGTAAAAGACCCCTGCTTTTAATTATCTCACAAAATATTTTAAAGCCGGATCAAAGATGCATTTTATTGTTTCTGCACAACCCATTTTAACATATTACATACAGTTAAATACAAAATATTGACTTGATATATCAAAAGTAGTTGCATACAAAGTAGTTTGTCTATTCGAGCTGGAGCTTCTGCCTGCAGCTCACTCTTGTATGGCGTCTGCAATTCAACTTGTTTGACAGTGAGAATCTAAAAGATTCCTATATAATGTGTCTTCACAGGGAATTTTGGAGGCTCAATGGAATGCATCCCCTGGCACAGCAAAGTGCTTTCTCTAGCAATATTAAAGGAAAGGGGAGCACTACAATATCAGTCTTTTGCTTTCAGTACGTTCACACATATAACCCTGTTTGTTTAAACATTCTAGGCCAGTCTAGCGCAAGTGCTGGCTTTCGAGGTGAGCGGGGAGAGGACCATATCTTTATCAATGTCTCGTTATCAGCACCAATTACCCCCTGAGGACGAAACGAGTCTCGATTGGTGTGCTCAACCCCTTTCCTCTCATTGCAGCGATGATGAACATTTGCTTATCCAGCATTACTGCCAAAGCCTGAACCAGGAGTCCCCGCTGAGCCAGCCCCGCAGCCCGGCGCAGATCCTCATCTCCCTGGAGGGCGAGGAGAGGGGCGAACTCGAGAAGGTCCTCAGCGATCTGGAGGAGGAGAACAAGTCAGTGAGAGGCTTTCCCGCCGCCAGGGGCTCAGTGAGCCGGAGTGTGGCCCTTCTCATCCAGGAAGGGTCACTGAGGATCTCGGAGCGCTGAGGGGGGGGATCTCCGCTTCAGTCATTTGAATGCTCTTCCTCCCTGTCTCCTACTGCGATTTTATTGGGGACCAATCTCCACACGATGCGAATTGAATTCTGTTAGTGGTGGTGCTTCAAGGTGCTTGAGTACATCCAAGCAAAGCGTGATGTAGTTAAAAAAATCTCTTAGGCACAGTACAATATTACAGGAGTTTTTTTAATTGAATCCCAAAGAAGAATATAATTACTCACGTACACCATGAAGATTCTGGACCTTTAAAACAATATGGAGATAAGTATCCGACAATACATAATTAGTATTATATTTTTGAAAGTGTAATCTTGTAAATGCCTTTGCCACAATTAGAAAGCTATCTTTAACAGCTCATTAAGAAGAGAATTTGGGGGCTGAAACAGGAAGAGCATTATTCTGAAATACTACTATGAAGCTATTCACGAGTATTTAAATCTGATTTGTAATCTTAGAATTAAAAAGAAGATTATAAAGACTTCCAAGATACCGTCCAGATCACAAATAAGAAATGTAGGAAATTATTACGGGGTTCGTATCCCGCGGCAGGCAGAGGAATCCTACTCCGCTGGGCCCCTGAGCAAGGCCCTTAACCCCAACTGTGTGTCTCATGGGGAGCAGGTTGGGGTATGCGAAAAAACAAATTCCTAATACAATGAATTGTAAATGGCCAATAAAGTAATCTGATCTCTATTAACTGGGATTGTATAATTTTTAAGGGGAGTTCTCTGAAAAGCTAAAGTATCCTCACACTTTATTTTTGTGAGTTTTGTGACATTAATTTATCTTTTTTAAGTCTGTTTAATTTTTTAGAATTCTACTGTTAATATGGACAATGCCCACCTGCAAGTCAGCCTTAAATGCTGTGTTGAGCCAGTGGATATTTGTTGTATGTTAATTAAGTGTGACTTTTAAACAACATCTCCTGTATAACTTTCTAGGAGTTGTTTAATACAATAACTATATGCTTTCACAGTCAAAAAATAAATAAATGAAACTCCTGCATTAATTTCCTATGCTAAATATTTCTTGTCCAAATATATCTCAAATATCCCACATTAGCAGAACTTGGAAAAATAAATCAACTTACCGAAGTGGGCTGAAAGGGCATGCCTTTTCAGTCTGAATAAAGCATTTGCCTCAGACAGTACATACAGACAATAATAATAATTGCTTACACTTATATAGCGCTTTTCTGGACACTTCACTCAAAGCCCTTTATAGGTAACGGGGACCCCCTCCACCACCACCAGTGTGCAGCCCCACCTGTGGATGACTAGATGGCAGGCAGAGTGCTTAAATACTCTCCCCACACACCAGCTCTCAGTGGGGAGGAGAGCAGAGTGATGAAGCCAGTTCAGAGATGGGGATTATTAGGAGGCCATGATTGGTAAAGGCCAGTGGGAAGTTTGGCCAGGACGCCGGGGTAACACCCCTACTCTTTGCGAGAAACGCCCTGGGATTTTTAATAACCACAGAGATTCAGGACCTCGGTTTTACATTTCATGCGAAGGACAGTGCCTTTATTACACTATAATGGAAATGTGTATACTGTACAATGTATGCATTGCTGTTTCCTGCTCTCCCCAACTCTCTCTCTCTCTCTCTTTCCCAGGAGTCTGCAGGCAGAGTACGACCGGCTGAAGCAGGCTCATGACCACAAGGGGCTGTCCCCTCTGCCCTCGCCCCCAGAGATGCTGCCCGTATCGCCCCAGAGTCCCAGAGATGCGGAGCTCATTGCCGAGGCCAAGCTCCTGCGGCAGCACAAAGGACGCCTGGAGGCTAGGATGCAGATTTTGGAAGATCACAACAAGCAGCTAGAGTCCCAGCTCCACAGACTGAGACAACTACTGGAACAGGTACAGTAACCCTGTACCACCAGGCTGTCTTAAACAACACGGTAGCTGTCCCTGTGTTTCCACTGCTTAGACATCAACCCATACACTCATACTGTGATCCAGCTGATGTTTGAGTTTACTAGTATTCATGACTTTACCCAGGTAAGGTACAAGTCATCAACTAGTCCTTGAATTCTGGTGGATTATTACCCAGAACTTCAAATTGCAGCTGTGACACCATGCTGAGGAAAAGATGCATAAGTAATCGCTGGTCTCATTTAAACCTGCTTTTCATGTTCAAACATTTTCAGCATGGAGAGCAGCAATTATCTGCTGTTAAGACCCTGTTCAGTCGGTGTTCAGGCTGCTTCGGTACACTGAGCAGACCTCATCAAGGATGATAATGATATATCGATAGCATCAGGCTTGGGGGCTCTCTATTGTTGCTTGGCAGGAAAGTGTACCTGGTTCGGTTGCTCTCAAACTAGCTTCAAACTAGGACTCCTCCTGCTAAAGATGTCTATGTTTTGCACCTCACCACATGTTTTGATGTCACGCTGTGAATTGTCATCTTTGCACCGATGATTCGAAGATTAACTCACAAACCACACCTGACGTGAAAGTAATTTCTCTTGATTTATTTAGGAACATTTTGCACAAACCCCAGAATGATCAGACCTCAGCAAGAACAGGTCTGACAAGGTCTTCTTCTGGTGAACACATAACCACTTTTTTCTGGAAACCCCTGTGTTGACTCCCGGACCCTGTTGACTTTCATGTAGATTCACAGTATATCGCTCTCGACTTGTAAGACCATGAAGGGAGTCGCTCCCCTTTACACGCCTGACCTACTGAAATCCCTTGCACCAGTCCTGTCCATCCTCCAGTCCTGTGACAGTGGTCTCTTACTCGGCTCTTGAACATGCCTACAGACTGCCTGATATGGAAGACTAGTTTATCTGTAGGTTCTGCTGTGAACTTTGAAACCTATGAAATCAGGAATTCTGAGTATCAATTTTAAGTTTCCAAATTTCGCCTTAAAACTTCCTTGTTTGAACTGCTGTTCTAAAGTTTTTATTATGTATATTAATATATGTACGTTGAGGAATTACCTCTTATTCCCTTATTTTGTGTTTTAGTTTTTCTACTGAGCTTTTTATAATTGTACAACACTTTTGATATAATTTTTATTAAAGTCACTTCATAAAATTGTTTTGTTGATGTTCTTTCAACTGGTAGTACTAACACCATTACTACTATATCTCCTGCAGTATATTGAGAAGGGCAGTTAGTACTTCAGGAATCATCTGGTGGACGACCAGTCCCCTGAGGATAGTGCACAGATCATGCATGTCACCCCAGCTCTCAAACTGTCTCACTTTTTCTGCGAGCTGGGTGTCTTGGATTCTGCTGCTCAAATGGAGTCATTGTGAGGCTTATTCAGCCATTCTTTCGGCTCGGTGCCACTGCAGATCCATTGCTGAGCTTTCTAGAGTTCTATATCACCTCTAGGCCAGGACCAGTAAATCTGTGCAGCATCCTGATGTCCAACCCGCAGCAAAAATGTCAGACCCAGTACTGAGAAGCGAACAGAAGAACAAAGCGACCATGTGATTTCAAACCCAATAGCAGAACAGTGTGTGATTTTGGGAAGTAATGTGCATTTTATGGGGCGGAGCAGTGGCTCTGTGGCTAAAGATCTGCGCCTGTGGCCAGAAGGTTGCCAGTTCGAATCCCATGGCCGGCGGAGGAATCCTACTCCGTTGGGCCCCTCTTAACCCCAACTGCTCTGGGGGCACCGTATAAATGTCTGACCCTGATCTCTGACCCCCAGCTTCTCTCCCTGTCTGTGGTGTCTCATGGAGAGCAAGCTGGGGTATGCAAAAGATAAATTCCTTATACAAGAAATTGTACATGGCCAATAAAGTGCTCTTCTCTTTGTATCACAGAGCCCCAGTCAGCGGCTCCCTACTGCACATGATAACACCACAGTTCTCTGTTACATTTTACGGTACCAAAAGGAAAAGGGCAAGGAGAGCGCAGCTTCAACAGGTCCTGCTTGTCTCGTTCCAGCCCCAGGCAGAGGCCAAGGTCAACGGCACCACCGTCTCGTCGCCGTCTACCTCCTCGCAGCGCTCGGACAGCAGCCAGCCCATGCTGGTCCGCGTCGTCGGCAGCCAGACCACAGACACCATGGGTAAGACGAGAGCGGGCTCGGCGGGTTTGGCGCCTTCCCCCCAACACTTTCTGACACCTGCACCCACACGCCCCCTCAAAAACAATAAGCCTGCCGACGATATTTCTTCATCATCACAAATGAGCTGAGTCTGAGGCTCTGTGCAGCAGTGAAGCTTTCAGAAAGCCAGTCCGTACGAGAGGTCTCCTACGCCTTTTGTCTAAAATAATGTATCGTGAGATAGGGTGATTGATTTTTTTTTAAGCCAGAGCACATTTGGTTTAGTTGCATGAAAAGAAGCTTGAAAGAGAAACTGGGAAAACAATCCCTGTGGAAAGTGCATTCCTGTCATCAGTGCTGCACACTTGTGCTTAAGCCAGGAACACCGCTGTGCTTTTCGTCTTTTTATCTGAGAGCACAGGGAGGTTGACAGGTGGTATATTGTGTCTGTTCTGATTAAGGTAACTAATTATGTAACCCCTCTAATACAGAAAATGAAAAGCAGGCAAAACTATAATTAAGTATGATTTAGTTCAGTGATCTAAAGAAATGCAATTTGGGGGACTGCTAATTTTATGATTTTTCTTTAATTACTACTTTGGTGCCTGAGGTTTTTTAACCCTAAAGTCTGAACTTCCCATGCTGAGCTGAAGAAAAAAAAAATTAAACTTCTACATTTGGCTGTTTTTTTATTTCACTACACAGTTCATTACACTCCAAGAATAGAATTGTGAATATCATTACAAATGTTAAACTACTTTTTATTCTGACTGACGTGTAATGTAGGAATACATTTGTATGTAACATTTTAATTAAAGTCGTTAGATATTTAACTACTTTAAATACTGATAAACAATTCAGTTTAATCAGTGATAGCCATTGATTAACCCCAAAGGATCTGGTGTTTTCTGAGACTGGAGAGCTCACTTAATCTGCGGTTTAAGTTTAAATTTTAAATTTTCAGATTTGATTTATGGTATGTTCAGTCAGATATATTCTTTTAGGGGATACAGGCAGTTCATGAAAATCTTTCAGTTCTTTTGTTAATGTTCAAAACATGTTTTAATTATTCTCAGAAATTGCAATTCAAGACTGCATTTTCTTACAGGGAATAAATGAACTAAGACTAACTACTATCTGTAGTTTTTTTAGCTTTTTAGGGTTTATCAAATTTCCAGAAGCTTTTTCTAAGTTCAAAGTAAAAAAAGATTTATGAAAGATCACATTTACAGTTTCCTTGTATAAAATAGATATATGGTTTACCCTGTGCTTCTTAGCTAAGAATCAGGCAAAAGCTGTGATAATCTGCTTAACATATTCAGTCAAGCCCCTTTGATTTTTTTAACTTTCAAATCCCAGAGCTGTCCTTTAAAATTTGTTGCATGATATCATGTAGTCATCATTGACAACAGTCGGATTTTTATATCAAGCTGCTGCAGAACTGCTGGTTCAGTGCTGAGTTTAGTTAGCAGAGTAAATGAAATCTGTTTGATTGTACCAGTTTGATGGTTTACTGGCACACTGCACTGGCTTTCATCTGCTGCAGTATTTACATGTCCCTCTTTTTCAGCACAGGGGAAGTTTAAAAATACAAAAGCAAAGCAGCGTCTCATCTCAGTGCTAGGGTTGATGCTAGCAGTTTTCAATCTAATACCTGCAGAACAGAAATTATTTAAAAGTCTGAGTTAATGTACGGAGAATAAATAGGTGACAATCGCTTTCCTCCTGTCTTCCCCCTAGCTGGGAACAAACCAAGCATCACTCCAGAATTCTGGCACTTTTAAATTATAAATAATCCTTGCATTTAAATAGCGCTTTTCTGGACACTCCACTCCAAAGTGCTTTAGGACTCCCCTCCACCACCACCAGCCCCACCTGGATGATGCAACGGCAGCCAGAGTGCACCAGTACTCTCCCCACACACCTGCTCTCAGTGAGGAGGAGGACAGGGTGATGAAGCCAGTTCAGAGATGGGGATTATTAGGAGGCCATGATTGGTAAAGGCCAGGGGGAAATTTGCTTAGGACACCAAGTAGAGTAGCACTCCTACTCTTTTCGAGAAATGCCCTGGGATTTTTAATGACCATGGCGAGTCACAAACAGCAGGGTGAGTACTTCCTACAAGCTCCACTAACACCTTGTTCCAGCAGGTGCCTTAGTTTCCCCATCCAGGTACTGACCAGGCTCTCACACCTGTTTAGCTCCAGTGGATTGTAGTCAATCTGTGCATATAAAAAATAAACTGAACTGAGCTAGATATGGGCCATCCATCCATCGTCTAACTGCTTTCTCCAATACAGGGTTGCAGGGGAGCCAGAGCCTTGATGGTCTATTCCATTTATCAAATGAGTTTTTGTTGTCTATATTAATGAAAGTCGTCCCCTTGAGGGAACAGAAGTGCTGTCTGACCCTCGTGTAGGTTCTCTCATTGACAAATTTCCCTTGGCTCATTGCTGGCTGCATTTGGAGGAAACTAAAACAAGAAGGCAAGATACATACCATCACCATATTTTTTCAAAATGTGCGGCTAAGGATCTGCGCCTGTGGCTGGTTCAAATCTCACGGCTGGCAAAGGAATCCTACTCTGTTGGGCCCCTGAGCAAGGCCCTGAACCCCAGCTGCTCCAGGGGCTGACCCTGCACTCTGACCCCAAGCCTCTCTCCCTGTCTGTGTGTCTCATGAAGAGCAAGCTGGGATATGTGAAAAGACTAATTCCTAATACAAGAAATTGTATATGGCCAATAAAGTGATCTTCTCCTTATGCTATAACCCTGCAGGGTGAAACCCTCAGGAATATGATTACAGCAGCCATATCACTCTGCAACTCACAGCTGGCAGCCCACTGAAGCTCAGCAGGTGTGAGACTGGTCAGTACCTGGATGTGAGACCACCTGGGAAAAACTAAGGTTGCTGCTGGAAGAGGTGTTAGTGGGGCCAGTAGGGGGAGCTCACCCTGCGGTCCATGTGGGTCCTAATGCCCCAGTAGAGTGACGGGGACACTATACTGTAAACAGGCGCCGTCCTTCGGATGAGACGTAAAACCGAGGTCCTGACTCTCTTGTGTTCATTAAAAATCCCAGGGCGCTTCTCGAAAAGAGTAGGGGTATAACCCCGGCGTCCTGGTCAAATTTCCCATTGGCCCTTATCATGGCCTCCTAATAATCCCCCTCTCTGAATTGGCTTCATCACTCTGCTCTCCTCCCCACTGAGAGCTGGTGTGTGGGGAGTGTTCTGGCGCACTATGGCTGCCGTTGCATCATCCAGGTGGGGCTGCACACTGGTGGTGGTGGAGGGGATCTCCATTACCTGTTAAGTGCTGTGAGTGGAGTGTCCAGAAAAGCACTATATAAGTGTAAGCAATTATTATTATTATTATTATTATTATTATTATTATTATTATTATTATTATTATTATTATTATTATTACTACTACTACTTATTCTTGGAAGCAGTCCAGTGGGTTATTCCTTGAGACACTGAGTGACCACTCGTGAGCTGTACTGTGGGCTGCAGGAGAATTTGTGATGCAAAGCTAACAGAGACTGAAAGAATGACGAGCCCCTTTTTATTGTTGTTGTTGTTGTTGTTTAACAAATTGCATATTGGATTGAGTAATTTAACTCAATTAGATCATTTTTACGAAGTCTTGAGGGTTTTCGACTTTTCTTATTTTGGAAATCCATTCATCCATAGCACAATGTCTGTGGGGCATGCAGCAGAAAACAAAGTACCCTTGGATTCAGAACAGCATTTTTTTTCATTAAGACATCGAGAAACCAGGCATCTGTGTGATGTGTGTTTATTTTTCCTCTTAATTGTGTGATAAATGCTATTGCAGCCAAAGGATTTGTGATTTTTTAAGAAGGATTTAAAGTGTTTTGTCATGGATATGTATACCCTCTTGTGGCTGCAGATTTAAGTGAATTCTTCTATGTTGTAGATTCATGCTGTTGAATTTTAATAGGAATTGACTTGCCTAATGTACAGGCTTTAGATACTGTTTTTTTGAAGAGGTGAGGAAATAACAGTTGGCTTTTGTGTTAACTGGTCGTAATTTTCTCATTATGAAGCCACTGTACAGTAGTAAAAAGTTTGACCTGGCCAAGATTACCTTTACATTTTTATAGTTTGTCAGCTGGAAACCTGTCATTACGGTTTTTGTTTAAAAAAAACAGTTTCAATAAAGACATCAAAATACCTACTAAAGAGGTCATGACGTGTCTTAAAGTTGTTTTGTATATATTTACACATGGGGGGCTCAGCTCCACCTTCCTCACTCATCTGTCACATCGGTACTTCAGTGGGCACTCTGGCAACTGGGTGTGTCCCAGCTCCTGTCCAGGCCTGCAGATGGATCATCATGGCCTGCAGATGGATTTGCCGACCACCTGAACAGCTGCTGACCCACACATTAGCAGTTCTCACAGCTGCAAGCACGCTGCATTTGCACTAAAGGTAATGAGTTGTAGGCTGTTGATTGATTGATTTATTTTTAATTGATGTCTTTTTTAAGGCGAAGATGATCTTTTGAGTCCATCTCAAGATCCAAGCACAGGTCTGGAGGAGGTGATGGAACAGCTCAACAACTCTTTCCCCACCAACCAAGGTGAGATGCGCTCCAGACAGTCAGTTTTTTTAAGGTGTTACACTACCCTTCCTAAAGGAAAATTAAACCTCTTAAACTTCCTGTCTAGACAACGCTTGCCCTCTCGGTTAATCATACAGTGCCTTTTCTGTAGTCTTTGCCTTGAAGCAGTGTGAAGATCACGCAAGTTGCAAGTTATAATTCTATAAGATACAGTACCTGTATAGCATTCACAATTTCAAGAGCTGTAATGTTGAGATGGCCTTGTTTTCCCGAAAGACGACTTCCACAAAGCAATTATCATCTTGCTTATAAGACATACACCATCTAGTTGATCTTGGTCGGCTAAATCACCTGAGTTCCTCCAACGTTGTTTATATTCCATATCAACACTTTGCAAAACCGGTGGTTTTAAGTCAAATAGGTTTGACATAATACTCGGGGATCTCCGATGAGAAAAACCTGAAATTATCTTCCATTACCAGGATTAACCTTAATATTGCAACACTTCACTTTCTCAGTTGTTTTTTTATAGTTTCTCATTATCGAGACAATTGATGTCAGTGCATTGTGGGCTTTCAGATAAGTAACTAATTCTTTGGTTGAAACATACCTTAAGGAAAGACAGTACAATTTCCTTTAGCCAAATCAGTTACAAGCTTGGAGTCATGGAATAGATGTTTCTGTTATACGAGGAAAGAACAGCTGTTTGGTTTTTCCACTGTATTTAAGAAACTTAAAAGCATTTATTCTTGCAGAAACACCTGTTGTGTAAAATCACTCTTCAGCAGACTGTATTTTCAGCCTTCTTCTCTCAGAGGAGATCTCAAATCCCTGTTTTGCTTTCACATCGAGCAGATGCCAAGCGTTTTCTGCAAAGACTGGGGGTCTGATAAGGAGCTGGACTCTTCACAAGTGTTCAGCCCTCGTGATTCTCTGTGCTTTGGAGTAAAGAAGGAAGCTGTGTTAAACTTTGATTTAGCCTTGCTATGGTTCAGGGTACAATCCACAGCAGTATAAGCTCCATATCACAGCTGTTGTGCTAATTCAGAGCAGATGTGGAAGTCAGAAGGTCTGACACTTGAAGGAAATGTTCATGTAAAAAGCCACCAGCGGGTTTACTTTACACTTGTAATTGGCCGTGGTTTCATAAGCCTTAAAAGAATAAACAAGCAATACAGCTGAGCTGTAAAAACCAGCAGCTCCCTTGTGCTGGCTGGTTAATAAATTGTGGCTGTTTTTTTGCTGAAAACTGGAAACAGACCAAAATAGAAGCAGCTTTTTTTGTTTTTCTCCAGGTGGCCATCCCCATAAATGTCTTTGCTTTGTAGAAATAAATGAAATGCATACCCCCTCTACTGTTCAGACATTATGCTGACAACCAGTTAAGTAACAGAGACTTACTTCCCTTTTCAGGGAAATTCAATCAGAGATTGTGCTTGCACTTATCAGTAAATTGACATTGCAAACACCAAGTACAGGCTCTGAGGATTTCTATATTCATTAGGGAAGAAGGTGGAACAATAAAATGTTACAATATTCTAACTATTAGATATTGGCACAGTGGTTTTTTTCAAAATTTAAATTGATGTCCTCTTGAAAGTACTGTTGACACCAATGTTTTGTCTTTGATCTGCATTGCACTGTATGAAGCATTTTCTAAAATAAATTTCATATCTGAAAAGAAACAAAATTGTTAGCATCTGCAGAAGAGCTTCATTGAGTTGTCCAGCACAGAGATTTTAATGGGGCTCTTAAAAGCTGCACTTTGTTTTGTGTGTGTAGCACTAATTTGTTAATCTAGCAATAAAGAGCAATACTTTACAATGTACATTATAGTGTGAAGTTCTCCCATTTTGCTTGATTACTGTTTAGATGCATACAGGGGTTGTTTTGAGCTTTTTGTCCCAGTCAGGCACTTCAGGTTTTAAAACCATATAGCAGTTTTATAACAATGACACACTTATATAGCATTCTGCAAGACACTCCACTCAAAGAGCTTTACAGAGCTTTACAGGTAATGTGGACTTCTCTCCATCACCACCGATATGTAGCCTCACCTGCATGATGCGACGGCAGCCAGAATGTACCAGTCTGCTCCCCACACACCAGCTCTCAGTGGGGAGGAGAGCAGAGTGATGAAGCCAGTTCAGAGATGGAATTATTAGGAGGCCATGGTTGGTAAAGGCCAGGGGGAAATGTGGGCAGGACACCAGGGTTAACACCCCTATTTTTTTCAAGAGCCACCCTGGGATGTGTAATGTCCACAGAGAGTCAGGACCTCAGTTTGACGTCTCATCCAAGGGACACCACCTTTGTTTTACAATATAGTCCCCCCGCCACTATATTAGGACATTAGAACCCACACATATCCATCTAACACACCTTCCAGCAGCAACCTTAGCTTTCCCAGGAGGTCTCCCATCCAGGTACTGTCCAGGCTCACACCTGCTGAGCTCCAGTGGGCTGCCAGCAGTGAGTTACAGGGTGACACAGCTGCTGGCTGAGTAGTACTTGTAGGCTTTTCCAGCTGAGGGTAACAGGTATTTAGAAAAACAGTGGAAAGCTGTCACTTCTGAAGTCCATATTTCTCAATCCTTGTCTCTTTTTTTGACTGCCTTCCTAAATGTTCTATAAAACATTTCCAGATATTGCTTGTGTCATTTTGTTTTTTCAATCCAGTTGTTCAATTTGAACTCTGCAAGAGGAAAACGAAAGTGGCATTACTGGTGTTGTGCTGTGAATGCTTTTATATTTTTTCTGTTGTTCTTTGTTGTTTCTTCTCTTACCTGCTGATAATCTTGGTTTCTGCCTCCACATGGATTCCCTGTCCTTGCTTCAGCTGCAGTTATGTGCCACGATGAAGAACTTCACGTCATACAACATCTATAATGTCCTTCGAGAAAACATTAGGCCATCTCGCATGTGCATCATTGATGTACTTCCGCATCCATTTACATCTCAGTCAGAGCTTCTAGGGATATTTGTGTTGTGTTTTTGTGTAGAAAACACAGAACCAATCTGACCAACAGCAGGAATAAATCCAGGAAATAATCAGATAGAAGTCACAGAACAGTACAGAAAACTCAACAAATGCCAGTGGAAATGCCAGTGCTTTTAGAGATTAGTTTGTGAGTTTGTATTTTTTAAAATTAGTATTTTATGGCTGCTTTTCAAAGTTTCTGTTACAAACCCTCCTGTCAGGTAATGTTCATACAGCTTCATTTGGTATCTCTCTATATTCTTCATTATACAGTACTTTTAACCCTTTTGGTAAACAGAAAACTTAATACCAGTGACTTCCAAGTGGCCTCTGCCTTTCTTGTTTTACTTCACAGATTTCTTACTGTCTGTTATTTCTTTTGGTTTCTTTCTCCTCTTCTCTCTCATCCCTTCCGTCTGTCACTCAAAGGAAGGAGTGGCCCTGGGAAACCAGTGAGAGAGGTTAGTGAGACTGCAGCTTCAGCACGGTCTCTCGGTTCTGTCTTCCTGCTGTGCAGTGCTCCTTCACACCTCTGCTCCAGTTAGGCTGCATGCTGCTGTGCTGCTGTCAGCTCACCTTCTGTGCAAGAAAACCCACTTTTAAGAATTAAATGGGTCTCTGTACTGTCACTAGAGTTACGTGAAATTATTATTCTGTTCACGTATGCGTAAAATGGCTAAGCTACGTGTTTTAAGCTGAGAAAGTACAAGTAATCGGTAAAAGACAGTCACAGTTTTTGTACCGTGTTACCTCGCTTTCTGATTGTGATATTGATTTCAGCATTAGAACCCATATAGCCTGGAATTAAGCTAAAGCAAACCTATCAAACAGTAGTAATACTTTTACCACGACGAAAATTTGTTTTATGAGAATCTCTCGAACAAGCCTCTGAAGAGAATGTTTGTCTGCAAATAAGTACAATTCTTCTGAGTGGGTTTAACAACTGTGTTTGCTGCAATAGCTTCGATTTTAGCTTGCTGGCATTAACAGAGATGCTCTCTAGACACTGTTTTCAAATGATTAGGTGAAAGGCACAGTGGAGAAGTCAGGTGTCACTTTAAAATGTAGTTAAAGCAGGACTTAAACCCTGCACTTTTAATTTCTGCCAAATACTCTCTTTTACAGCAATTCTGCATTTTGAAGAGTGTTACCAGCAAACAAAATGATAAATAAATAAAGGAGGTTGCTGTAGGCATCTATTGCTCCCATCGTCCCCACTGCATGGTACAGTGCATTGTGGTTCTGGCAGCAGCAGCTGTTCATTGCTGATCTGGCTGCTTGAAATCAAATTGTGGTAAAATGCATGTGAGAAATATATGTAGAGTGTTTGGTGCAGATCAATGGGATAAGACTTCACGAAAGCACGAAAGCTGTCTAAAACACTAATCGGGGAATGTTTTCCCTGTTTCTTTCATTAACATAAAGATTGACAAGGTTTCAATTGGAAAAGTAGAATTAGCAGTGAAATTCACTTTTAGTTTGCCACTATTATTATTTAAAATGTGCAGTTCCTTCATTGGTTCTAGTTCTGGGGGATATTTTAAACAAAAGCTCGAAAGAGGGAAGATAGCTTCCAGCTCATGTCACAGGCCCGACGTCCTGCCGCTGTTCAAATCAGGGTATATCATATCACTGCAAGAATCTGAATATTTACTTGGAAAAGTGCTGTGGTCATAAAAAAAATGTAAATGCATGGCCACCTAATTTCAATTATGTCACCAGCTGGGAGATTAAAATACCCTATTTTTGTTTCACAAGAGCTGCAGTTAAAGCTCTGAAGTAAACAAGATTCGTGAGTTCCGATTGCCGTACAATTCAAACGAGAAATTGAAGGAACTTTAGTTCTTCGTAGATAAACAGACTATAGGTGTGTACACCGTAGATTAAGATATTAAATAAGGGTGTGAGCACATAAAATCATGTGTTCGTGTAGTGCGTTCAGGAAACGCACATTTTGAAGAAAGTTTGCTAAGAAGGTATTTACTTTTTTGTGCTTAAAAGCATCTCATTGTGAAATTCGAGGTCTGATAATGTTGGATCATGCTTCTAGCACAGCAAGTTAAGGCCACATTCCTGCCAGTGCCATTTAATCTAATGGGCTATGACTTTCAATTGAAAGATCAGCAAGGGGCCCATTTGCCCCAAGAGCAGGGGGTGTCAGTTAAGAGCAGAGAGCTGGAGCACAATGTGATCTTCAGCAAAGACTCTATAAGCAGCTTTTAATTAAACAGCAGAGACAATGTGAGTCCTGCTGATAACTACACAAGCGGGAATGGTGGTGTATGAGCCATCACAATCCCATGAATAATGTTAACCATCCTCACTTCAAAAAGTAAAAAGACCAAGTCAAGCTTCCTGATGAAGGAAGCAGAGAAAACAAGGATTCTGTAGCTGCAGAACTGGAGGCTTGCAAGTACAGCTAGTTTACTTAGGTTCCACTTGAATTCCAGCAATGTATCACATTCCGAAGAGCGCCCAGTGTTGTGCAGGAGGAGATGAAATCGGCGTACTATGAACATCTCGTTTTGATGCATTTTCTTTTTCCATAAAAACATTCTTCGGTACCATGCTCATTATTCTGGAAAGTTTCCATATCACCTCCCTTCTTCCACTATTAAATAGCCATTATCTGCTGTAGTTAATGGGATAAATAATGCACTTCTACAATAAAGTGTGCCTGTTTCCATGCTGCCTTCAGTAAGTGGGGAAAGTAAATTGTTTTTTGTTTGTATGCATTCTTTTAAACCACAGCTTTTGACTTGTCACCAGCAAAGGATATAAAACAAAACAAACTTTATGAAAGAAATTAGCTGTTATTTTTTTTCCCTCTTTATTTGTCAAATGAGTTATCGGAATTCAGCGTTAGCCCAGTGCAATGCATAGTAAGAAATTCGCAAAGCTCTGAATTTGTGTCGGAGAGCTGCTTAATCTCTATGGACACCACAGTGCGGTGGTCATTTTCAAGAAGGCTGGACGGCCAAAGTCCAGTGTCTCATTTGACTGGACAGACATTAATGAAGCGGTCCTGGAAGGAATCCTACTCCGTTGGGCCCCTGAGCAAGGCCCTTCACCCCAACTGCTCCAGGGGTGCCGTATAAATGGCTGAACCTGTGCCCTGACGCCCAGCTTCTCTCCCTGTCTGTGTGTCTCATGGAGAGCAAGCTGGGGTATGAGAAAAGACAAATTACTAGTGCAAGAAATGTTATATGTCAAATAATGTCATCTTATCTTATCTAAGCAGACCTGTTGGTGAACCAATCTCTTGTCTTTCTCTCCTCACACAGGTAACAATGTAGGGAGTCTCTTCCACATGGCAGATGACCTGGGGAGAGCAATGCGGTCACTGGTGACTGTGATGACAGACGATGAGACACTGGACTAGCAGAACTTTTCCTACTACACTGGCTTCTGAATATCAAGCATGGTTTTTATAATAATTCATACACCGAATAGAGTTGGACTGTAAACGTTTACAAAGAAAAAAAAATCTATATTTTTGTGAAGGGAAGTGGTAATAAAATTGTAGATTTCAGTAGTTTCCTAAGTCTAATATTGTTTTGTTAACAATGGCAGGTTTTACTCTTCTATGCAATTGTACAAAAAGAAAAAGAAACAAATCAAACCTAAATGTAAAAATCTCGTGAGTTAAATAACTTGCCGGTAATTTGTATGCGTTTCAGATTGTTTAAAAACGTTTGTAACAATTATAATGAAAGATTGTAAACTAAAAGGGTGCTTTATAAAAGACAAATTTTATTGTTTATAAAAACCAAAAAAAAGGCAAAAAAAAACATTCAGAGGCAATGCATTTGTTTTTGCGAACATTACCGCTCAGTACATGTGTGTGTGTAATGTAATCATAATCAGTGTTATTTTTCTTGCTTACAAAAGAAAATGCCTATTATTGTTACCAAATTATTCATCAGGTCATATGTCATTCTTCTGTTTTATTTCACCAGGTCCCTAAAACAGAGCTCCTTCTGAAATAACCTTTACAATCAGATTTTTTAGTACTCTTGTTCATTGTCAAAGCACACAGTATATAAGATTTTGCATTTTTGCTGAGATGCCGGAAAGTTATATCAAAACTAGGCAAATTCATATTTTAACCATTGTGTTTTGGTACTTTACAAAGTAGTGTCTTTTAACCACAACCATTTGTGAATAGCTTTTTATCAAGCATGGATTCAACAGAATATTTTTTTAAAAAGGTAGAAAGGGAAACTGTTGTATTTCTGGTATAACTTGCAGACATGCCAATGAAATCATTGTACCCTTTTAACTTCAAGGTGAAATAACAGACAATTTTTCATAGATTGTGATCGTGAGCAGACCTGTCTTTGTCCCAGTCCTAGCAGAGACTATTAAGTGGAGTTTTGCGTCCGAGTAATTATTTTATAAGAATTATTTTTAAGTGAACCACTAGAATGTGTTGGGCATGCTTGTGAGCAGTTTTGGTTACTTTCTGACAGAAACAACAGTCATTTTTATAATCATGCAATTTCTACCTCAGTTTTATTTCATGGTACACTTAACATGGCATATGGCCACATCTGGAAATGTATTTTGTTTTTTGGCATCAACATTTTCATTTTTTGAAGTTTTTTTTCATGAAAAAATAATCAAATTAAAAACTATACAATCAGCAGGGTAAGCCACTACAGAAGGGAAATGCCCTGATAAACCACCCCGTCTTTTTATTCAAACAAGTATGGTACTACTTAATTTTGTTTTGTTTAATTTCATTCGTTTTTCTTTTCAGTTACATATAGCAGATTAAGTTGGTGATATTGCACGGCTGTTCCTTGAGTTTTTATTAATAGCTAGGATTTACTTGTTTGGGTTTTTTTTGTGGGTTGAGTTTGTTCTTTTGAGCAAGAGTTTGAAAGCTTTACTGAGGCTTTATGTATGTTTCTAAAACACTTCATTAATGTACGTAACCACAACAATATTTAATACAAACCATTAACAGTAGAACTATGTATCACACGGCATGTTATTTCGTTTAATTTGTGAGCTACTGCATTATTTTTAACCCCAGTATTTTGCCATTATTCATTAAAAAAACATTTTACTTTTTTCCTTCACAACATATCAAATTCCACCAAATATATGCCTTACTATTGTATTATAAATTGCTTTACTGTGTATATCAATAAAGCACGCAGTTATGTTAATTTGTCTTTTTGTGAATGTGATTGAATTTGTCTTCCAGAGTGACAGATGCCAGAGCACATAGTTCATAATTATACAGTCTCCGTGCATTCTGAATGGACTCGGGGAAGTCATGTTTGAAGCTGATATGAGTGTGGCCCAGAAGGGTACCTGCTGAGGCTGACCTGTGTCCTCTGGGCCTAATTAGCTCCACACCATCCAATAAAGCGACTTTCCAGGCAAGAAGAAGACTTGACTTCGCTGAAACAGAACAGCACTTACCTAACTGGTGTGCTTCACTGTACCATGTAGCCTAAATTAGATATTATCAATATTCAGGGGGAACAGGTTAAAATATAAATATTAATATTGTAGACCACTTAGTAAGTGAAATAGCATTTTTGTGAAATGTAAAACATTATGCACAGCTAGAGACCTTATATATCACTATTATTACTCTTAAAAAAAGAATGCAGAAATTCACTAGAGTGACTTGTAGGTTTTGCTGAACTCAAAGAATAGTTTTGTGGAGTGCATCTAGACATACTCTGTAATTCAAGATGGCAGGTGAGAAAGGGGGCATTTCGTCTTTGTGCAGAAGTAATTTGATATGCAAATGCAAATAGGTTGTGTCTGAATCATGTTATTGTTCCCACCCCTGCAGCATATAAGTTATAGGAAAACAATAGCTCTATAATTATAAGAAATATATACAGTATATAAATATATAGCTATGTTGGCATTTCTGCGTACGTTTTACATTTTGCCCCCCAATTACTACTGTCAATAGACAAGAAAATATTGTTGCAGGATAAAAACAATGGGATGCATTACTCTGTCGGTCTGGTATGAAGTATAACCTACTTGAAAACCTACTGCATCATGATTCACTGAGAAACGGCCTGCCACACTATTCTAGCTTATGTGTGACGTTGTTAATTAAGCACTTCTATTAAAACTGTCACCCTAAAATCAGTGGGAAATGTGGGATTTCTGCTCTGTTATTCCTAGATGTTTGGTTGCTTGCCAATGGACCACTTCCAGTGGGGAGGTTAAAAGGAAGTTTTAAACCTTTCTATGATCATTCATTTTTGTTTTCTGCTCTCTGCCTCTAAAATAATCAGATTCACCCACAGGAGTGACGTCCTCTATGCTGCTCCTCAGAAAGAGTCTGTTTGTGACTGCAACAGACAGCAAACACAGGGGTGATATTTCTTGCAGTATTGAAGGCACTCCTTATCTACTGGATAACTGCACATTTTGTTACATGTTCTTTTGTTTCATTTTTAAGACATTATTTGTCTTAAAAAAGGATGGAAGTATTGCTCAATTTGATTTGAAAGAAAGCTGGCATTGCTTTATATATGGGTTTGCTGTGGATATATAAACATTCTTAAGTTTGGTTTCGATTTACTTTGAGTAACAACAGTCTCCTTCTCTTTGGATGGAAGACGCACAGTTCCCATGTGCATGGGGGTTAAACGCAGCTTCATTTCAGAACAATTTCCTTTCTGCTTTTCGATGTCTCTCAATATTACCTTTTCCTTCTGCATCACTGTTATAATTCCAACGACAGGGACTTGGCAGAAGTTGGAGAAAGCCGCTTTGAAAACTTCATCTTTATTTTAGCCACCAGAGAATACGCAAATTCATGTTAGTTATCCTCAGTACCCTTACACCCCCTTCAGTAATAAATATTGGATATGCAATAATATATATATAAAACATAATAACATGCAATAATAACACCTTTGTACATGCTCCATGCATTAAACTGGTGAATTCTACCGTAATTAACAGGAAGATGAACATTGTACTTAAACATTTTAGTCATCTCTATTTTTGAACACCCAATACCTACCTACTTTTAAAAATATTTTTCACTGTCCACGAATTTCTCACTGTCCTGTCATGTGCTCAAAACAAGAAAAGAAAAAAGCCTGCTACACTGGCATTATCTTTCTCCTTTGAAAAATAACCTGTATGGCTTAAGTCCGGCAAACAGATGTGGAAAAAAGATCTGCAGTTCTTTTGGCTTCTTCGGCAAAACCTCAAAGGTGACCCTAGGACAACAGTGTTAAAGGTAATTAAAGAATGTCCCCCCTGCTCAGATTCCTGGCCCCTGGCCTTTTAAACCATGGACATGCAGGGGCTCTGCTAGTCATTGTTAACCCTACTGAGCTATTCCCCAGTCAATGGGGAATAGAATTTGTTCCATTCAGCCTACATGGCCTCTTTGGTACTGTACAGTAGGTACAGTCGTAGCTAACTGGTCCTGGGATGCCATGGAGCTGTATTTTGAAGGAAGCCAGAGTGTTGCTTTCATCAACCTGGCTGGGTGCCTTGTTCCTTACCTGTGCGACCCTTAATCACACCGATCATTTGGAGGTGAGTTTTTATTAAGTATTCTTCATCGTGAAACAACAGGATCGGTGTAGCGGATTCTCCACCATGGAGAATTAAATAATAAGATTTGTTACTATACTATTTTAACATTTGGTTAATAGGAGGATGTAATTAAGAAGCAGTCATTTTACTCTATTAGAGTAATTTTAGTATTTCTAAAATTTACTAGATCATATTTCTTTCAGCATTTCATGAACACTATCACAAAGGATTTACGCCTCTATGCGCTGTTGAAATGTCTGGTGTTTTCTTGCCAGTTTGAATAACAGCATGGATACTAGGCTTCACCAAATTAGAAATACAGAGAAGAAAAGGCGGAAAGGTAAAGTGACAGCCTTTAACCTTTATTCCCCACAGACCAGACACACAACCGTGATAAAAACCCAACTTGGTGTGATTGCCAGACACTATAGCCACATCTAGTGGACAGTTGCTGTCACATCAGACGTTACCGGTCTTAGTCAAGATGAAACAAAAGACAGAGCTGGGGATTTTCTTTGGGTTTCTCGATGGTCATGAGGTACCATGGTCCTGCAGTGGTCAGTGCTGTGGTTTCTGATGGCTGGTGTGCGTTTCTGTGTGTGCTGTTTGCATTCTCCTCCACTTGTTAGATACAGTATGCTTTCCCCAACTTCCAAAGACAAGCAGGTAGGTTAATTTGCAGCTTTTGACAATCTATTCCTTGAGGAAGGGCATCCAACTTCATTAATTTCTGGAAGACTTTTCCACAATATAATCTGTCCCAGGTGTACAAAATAAGTCCTATTTGCTTACATATTTTCAATTGAAACTTCTGTTAGATTAAAATTCATTGGACTGCAATTGTTTGGAGGGAAAACTGTCAACTAGGAATTTTAGTATTTTAACATGATTGTGGTTACAATGATGCGAAAAAGTTTCAACAGGTGAAACGTGGTTTACAGCTTTCATGAAAAGGACTCTTTTTTTCAGAATTCTGTTTCTGTTGCCTGGGTG